TAATTTTTTACTTTTTAATTTTTTATTTAATTTTTAAATTTTTTATTCATTTTTTACTTTTTTATTTATTTTTTAAAACTTTTTTTTTTATTTTAAATTTTTTTTAATTATTATTATTCAGTGAACACTTCTCAGATACAAAATAGGAAAAAATACACCAAAACCACATTTTTAAATATAAATGTCAGATATGTGGAGCTGCCTTTTTAACACAAATTTTTAAGTTTTAATACACATGTATATATATACATAATAAAAGAAGTTCCCATTGGCAAAACTGCAATTGAGGATATCTTTTATTCATTTAATGCTAACATAGAAAAGTGGATTTATTACTTTAAATGGGGCGAGTGGTGGATATCTATAATTCTGTTTTCACCAAATAACATGTTAAGTAGCTTTAGTGTTTGTTTTCTGTTTTTGATAACTGAAATCAGTTTGCTAGTAAAGCTAAACAGTGATTTATTTATCCTCCACTTTGCATTTGAATGCTTTTCTTTGCATTGTGAGCTAAATTTACACCCTCCGGGTACACAAACATTTAGATTTAGGAGCAGGGAATTAGTTTGATCAAGTTATTTTCTCTGTATCATTAATTTAATGAAGCTCTGGACCTTCTCAAAGCAAACGTTCAGCACCACCTGCATGTTTTGAGCCTGTTATCAAATCAAAGGGTGGTCTTCCTCTCCATGGCTGACAGGTAAAAAGAACAAGCTGCGTGTTTACTACCTGTCCTGGCTGAGGAACAAGATCCTGCACAACGACCCGGAGGTGGAGAAGAAGCAGGGCTGGACCACCGTCGGGGACCTGGAGGGCTGCGTCCACTACAAAGTCGGTAAGAAATAAAGTCATAAAAACACGGATTTCCTGTGCCAGTTGTGCAAATAAACACTGAGCGGGCTGTTTTTAAATGTGATTCTAGTTTGTTTTTTTCTACTTTTTATGCTACTTTTCTCCTGCAACTGAAAAACAACAGCTCAAATTCAGAATATTCTTTATATTTGGTCTCCCCAAAGAGTTCATATGGAGAGCTGAAGCTAAATTAGTGCTTAGAGACACAACTGTTTGTGTTAAAACAACAACAAGGGTCAAATATTTGGTGGTATTTTTTATCCGCGTCTTCAGAATCGTCACTGGAGACTCCAAAAACCTCAATCTATGATTCTGAGTGGCATCATGTTCATGAGACATGCAAACTATTGATAAATGATCACTAGGAAGCCCTCGATTAAGTAACAATCCGGTAAAGACAACCGAGGAAACGTGCAACTGCACAATCCTGTCCAAAATGCAGAATGTCCTCTGTGATTTTGGTGCCACTTGGTACAGACGGGCACTTCCTGTTGGAAACCCCGCTCTTTAGACGCTTCCTGTCCAGGAGGTGAATTTGTGAACATCCAGCACTTCTGCAAAGTACAGAGACGTCCAGAATGGAGATGTTAAACCCTGAATGGTGCCCAGTCATTAATCCTCCTCAGAGAAGGAATGGATGGATCTGCAAACTGACTAAAAAAATAAATAAAAAAACTTTACCTTTTGTTTGTCCCATATTTAGGCCCCATTCTTTATTTTTCCAGAGGTGGTTTAGTCCACATTCTGGGGCTTAAAGAAGCTTTGATGATGTAAAATTGACAAAAAAAGAAAGATTAACCCTTTAAAGCCTTATCCAAGAATAAAACAAAACAGAAAATAACTTTTTTTTGTGTTTTGAATTCCTCATTTGGCCTTTTAACAAAATATGTAAAAAGAAAAAACAAAAATACATTTTTAATATTAATAATTTATTACTATGCGATAAGTCAAGATTATTTTTTGAGTAGTCTTCTGCCCCCTGTTATCAGGTGTATCTGATTGTGTACAATAGGATTTTGAGCAAAGTTTTCACCATTAAATTATGCAAAAGGTGTCAGACGCAAAAACATTTCAGAAACCGTACGTATCAAATATGATACATTTGGCATTACAGGGTTAATAGCACATAAAACAACTTTTAAGGACTCCGTTTCCTGTAAAAGAAAAAAGAATAAGGGGCTTAAAGAGGCTTTAACAATGTAAAATGGACAAAAAAGGATTAATGGCACATAAAACAACTTTTAAGGACTCCGTTTCCCATAAAAGAAAAATAAAAAAGAGAAAAAAAGTGTTAAATGTCACCATTTAAAACCCTTGGTCCCCCTCATTAGAAAACCTGGACCGGTAAACACTCAAAATCTGGTGTGGAGATCAGAAATAATCTCAGGTTTGAGAAACACAGAACAGAAATGAAAAACCAGTTAAAAGAGGTTGCCAGACTAAACCGGCCCGTCTCTAAAGCAGCTAAAGACGTTTTTTTAGCATCCTAACCTTCTTCTCTTTTGCTCAGTGAAATACGAGAGGATCAAGTTTCTGGTTCTGGCTCTGAAGAACTCGGTGGAGGTCTACGCCTGGGCCCCCAAACCCTACCACAAGTTCATGGCCTTCAAGGTAACCTCTGACCCCTCTGGTGGAGGGGGGGG